GCGTCTCCAAAGCGTTCCTGTACGCAATCTTCGACGCCATTATTTTCGTCGAGCAGCCACACGCCTTTGAAGAAAGCGACGGCGCCATCTGCCTCCTCCAGAAGTCACTCTACGGCATCAAGCAAGCACCTCGTCTGTGGCAGCAGTACCTACACAGTGTCCTCATCGAACTTGGCTTCGCCCAGCTGCCGCATGACCAAGGCATGTACCGGAAGGAATCACGCGGGAATTTCATCCTCCTCGTCGCCTACATCGACGATCTACTCTAAACTGGCGACGACACGGAACTACTCGAATGCTTCGAAGCAGAGATCAAGAAAAGCTGGAGGTTACAATCAATTACAACGTCACGCAATTCTTGGATCTCAATGTCACCCAGTCCGCCACCTCCATCCATCTCTCCGCCGCCAAATACGCGGAAACACCCGCGAAAAAGTTCGCGATTGCACCAATCAACCTAACCTGACACTACACCACTCTCCATCGAAGACCATCGCCTCTATCAGCAGCAGCTGGGGTGTCTATTGTACGCCGCCGTCACGTGCCGGCCGGATCTCTCCTACGTCGCAAGTCAGCTCGCACAGTACCTGCGCCGACCTGAAGGGGAGAATCTGCTATACCTACGACGAGCACTTCAATACTTCGTTTCTATTCCTGACGTCGGGCTCACCTACACTGCCAACCTAACAGCTACTCTTCAGCTTCATGGCTACGTAGACGCGGACCATGCGTGAGATGCTGACAATTGACGCTCTCGCACAGGTTTCGTATTTCAACTTCAACCTGCTGGGCTCATCTCATGGAACTCTCAGAAGCAAGAGCCCGTTGCTCTTTCGTCAGCCAAAGCTGAATTTATCGCTGCCAGCGCAGCTGTTCGCGAAGGAATGTACCTGATGGAGCTCCTGCAGGAAGCGAAAGTGACGATGAACAGGCACTTCACGTTACTCTGCGACAACCAGAGCGCGATAAAAACCGCGAACAGGCCTGACTTCGTAAACCACACGAAACACATCGCACTCCGTTACTTCTTCGTCAAGGACAAGATTGACATGGGCAAAGTCAAACTCATGTATTGACCAACTGGTGACATGACAATGGATTTCATGACAAAGAAATTGCCACGATAGAAGTTCCAGCACTGCGCCAACCTCTGCAGGATCTCGAAGAAATCCCACATGGCTCACCTTCACGAATGAAGGAGATTGTTGGAATAGCCGACAGGTTATTGTAAGCATTCCCGAAGGCTCTCCCTTAACGCGCTGTTTCATAACGAAGCAACGCAGCTATACCAAGTACCGCGATAGCTCATATAGAGCAAGCGGAAGTCAGAGGGCCACGCAAAGGTCAACAGACACTGGAAGTCAAAGGTCGCGGCTGTTGATCACCCAGTAACCGTACTCGGAGGTTACGCGATGCAACATGGTAACTGTCGAGTATAGCAATAGTCACGTGGCTCACCTTCAGGAATGGAGACTGTTGGAATAACCGACATGTTATGGTAAGCATTCCCGAATGCTCACCCTTAATACGTTGTTTCATAACAAAGCAATGCAGCTGTACAAAGTACCGTGTATCAAAATTATCTGTGCAGGAATGAGTGAACTAGAAAGGAGATGGATACAAGTATGAAACCCTAGGTTTGTATCCCCTCTAAGGCTAGCCCCACAATAGCCTACTGTTGGTGCAACCCTACGGTTTGCATTCGGGTTGTTGTCCGTGTGCGTGCATGCGTGTGTGCATGGAATGGTATGAGGGCATGAGATAATATATATTTCATGCTTATAATAGTGTGTGAATGATGAGGCATGGTTTTGAATGTGTGTGTCGAGTCAATAGCGAGTTATCGCTAGTCGCGTGTCACGTCGTTGTTTGCGTGTCGTGTGCGGTTTTCTATTTTGTCGTGTGTGGAACATTCGGCGTGTCGCAGATGTGCGCAGCAGAATTCCAAGAACTCAAGGAAGAATTTATCTTGAAGAACCAGAGCCTTGGTTTCAAGATTCAAGTGATTTCGAAGCTCTCCAAAAGGGTAAACTTTAAGATAGTGAGAATAGTTGCTTTTTTTTGTGTAGTGTAACATTTCTCTTGGTGTAGGCCCTTGTGGAGGGTAGTTTCGAGACCCTTCGTGGTTGGGGATAGTGTGGCACTGTTCCACATCACTGTACCTTGGCTCTTGGGGTTTGTAGGAGCTGGGAGTCATTCCCAACTTGTAACTCTTTCTAATTTGTGTTCTAAGTCTATAGTGGCTGCCATAGTGCCATTCGTTCAAACCGACGTTGCGTCGTCAATTCTTAATGCGACATGTAGGCGACGTCAAGACGCTCCAGATCCAATTTGAATCAAATCATTTGCAGCTATGACCAGAAAGTTATCAACGTTTGAAGTCGCTGTGCAGAAATCCGACTGTGCACTCTATCTTTCGTTTTAGGCACATTCAAGCCTATTGTGACTATAACAAGTGGTATCAGAGCCCTTTGGAGCAGTTTCGACAATTGCTGGACCTGAGGAAAGGGGTGGCAGAGGTTCTGGTGGCAGTGGAGAAGCCCAAGCTCAAGGCCAACCCCGTGATTCAGCCATGGCGCCCGTGCAACCAAGTCTTGGCCCACCTAGGGATGAGCCTAGGGTGTTTGGGATTGACAAGTTCAATGGCGACAACTTCGCTGAATGGTCCTTCAGAATGGAGAATGTATTTGACCACTATGACCTGCTGGAGGTGATGGAAGGAACGGAGAAGCGCCCCGAGAACGACCCGGAGAAGAGCTCGTGGGTGCGGAAGAGCGCACAAGGCTATCTCCTACTTGGGCAAGCGTTGGGGAGCAGCCAGATCCGTCACATCAAGCCATTCCAGCGTGAACCAGAGAAGGGACCAAAGCCATGGGCTTCTCTCAAGGGTGTACACGCTCCTGCAACAGCGGCGGTAGTGGTGGTGTTGGAACGGCAAATGGCGGCACTACGAATTGAAAAAGACGAAGCGGTTGAAGAAGGGGTGCAGAAATTCTTCGACTTGTTGACGCGGCTTGAGGGAGCTGATTTGAACTACAGCGAGCTCCAAAAGAAGACCAAGTTGCTGGCCTTACTCCCATAGTCATGGTCCTCGCTCATCATCAACCTCAATCGTGACTTGCCCCGCCTCTCGCTTGAAGACGTGAAGCGAGCGATCCTTCAAGAGGACTTCCGCCGCCGTGAGTTGGCGAGTGCGGATGGCGCCGGGGCAGCAAGCATCGGCCGAGGGTATGGCCGTGGAAGGGGCAGAGGACGAGGGGGAGGCAGATTTGGCAGCAACAACTTCAATGGAGGCCGCGGGAGTGGCGGATACGGCAGCGACAACTGTTATAGTCACAATAGGCTTGAATGTGCCTAAAACGAAAGATAGAGAGCACAGACGGATTTCTGCACAGCGGCTTCAAACGTTGATAGCGTTCTTCTCACAGCTGCAAATGACTTGATTAAAATTGGATCTGGAGAGTCTTCACGTCGTCTACAATTAGCAATTTAGATTGCACGATTTGATAAAGAATTGACGACACAGCGTCGGTTTGAACGAACGGTACTATGGCAGCCACTATAGTCTTAGAACACAAGATAGGAAGAGTTACGAGTTGGGAATGACTCCCAGCTCCTACAAACCCCAAGAGCCGAGGTACAGTGATGTGGAACAGTGCCACACTGTCCCCAACCACGAAGGGTCTCGAAACTACCCTTCACTAGGGCCTACACCAAGTGAAATGTTACACTACACAAAGTAATGTAACTATCTTCAATATCTTGAGGTGTACCCTTTTGGCAAGCTTCGAAATCACTTGAGGCTTGACACCAAGGCTCGGGCTCTTCATCACAAACTCATCCTTGAGTTCTTGATGGGTCTGCTGCACACACCTGCGACACGCCGAACGTTCGACACAGGACAAAATAGAAACCGCGCACGACAAAATAGAAACCGCGCGCGAGACACAAACGACCGCGTAACACGCGTCTAGCGATAACTCGCTATTGACTCGACACACACACTCGACATCATGACTCGACATTCACACACAATTATAAGCATGAAATATATATTATCCCATGCCCTCATACCATTCCATACACACACACATTCACGCACACGGACAACAAGCCGAGTGCAAACCGTAGGGTTGCACCAACAAACTCCCCCTCGGATTGTTGGCCTTAGGATATGTTGCTCTCTCAGTTCAGAGCCATCCCAGCCAGCTTGCAACACTTCCAATGCTGCTGCTCCACCAGCCTCTTGGTCATCATGTCAGCCGGCTGCCCCGTGGTCTTCACATAGCGCAACTCAACTTCACCCGCGGTTACCATGCTCCTCGTCCAATGCCACTTCACCCTCATGTGCTTCGTGAGTCCATGCAACACAGGGTTCTTAGCAAGAGCAATGGCACCCTGGCTGTCACAGTACAGTGGGGTAGGTCCTTGCTGCTCCTCCCCCAATTCAGCCAACAAACGCCGCTGCCACACAATCTCCCGTACGGCACGGAAGAGTGCCATGTACTCGGACTCCACCGAGCTCAAAGCTTGGTCAACCTACTTCTTGCTCTCCCAAGCAGTTGGGCCTCCACCAACACAGCATATGAAGCCTCCCACACTTGTCATGTCCTCTGGTTCTGATGCATATGAAGCATCCGAGTAGGCGGTGAGGAACAAACGCCCGGGTTCAACACCATCCGCGCCCTTTTGGTGCCTTTGTGCCGCCGCCGAGTATTGCAGCCCAACGGTCGGTGTTTGGCCAAGATACTTGGCCACCCTCATTCCAGCTGCTACCTGCTCCTCATTAGGGCATTGCACAACCCTAGCCAGCTGCCCGGTAGCAAACGCGACGTCCGGTCGGGTGTTTACCGCCGCATACATGAGGCTGCCCACCAACGAGTGAAATCAGCGCCTCTCCTCTTCACCAACGCTCTCCTCCTCTGGTCCCTTCACACACTTGAACCCAGAGGGAAAGGGTGTAGCCACATGGCCTTCACTCTGCCCAAAGTTGGCAGCCAATGCCTCCAGGTACTTTCGTTGATGCACCCGCATGCACCGCTTCTCCACATCTCGTTCGATGTGGAGCCCAAGGTAGAAGCTCACGTCACCAAGGGCCTTGCACTTGAACTTGTCTTGAAGCTTCAGCATCACCTCCTTCACAAGGTCAGAAGAGGGTGAGAAAATGAGGATGTCATTCACATAAACCACCATGAAACTCCTCTGCTCCCCCTCGCCAAGCATGAACAAGGAGTGATCGGCCGTTGAGGGAGTGAAGCCGATCCCCTCCAACACTTCGCGCAGCTTCATGTACCATTGCCTAGGGGCCTGCTTCAGCCCATAGAGGGCCTTCTTCAGCTTCCACACTCTGCCACTACCATCATCAAACCCCTCTGGCTGCGCCATAAAAATCTCCTCCTCAAGGATGCCGTTAAGGAATGCCGTTACGATGTCCATTTGCTTTACTACCCATCCTTTGATGGCGGCTCCCGCGAATAGGGTTCGCAGCGTCGTCGGCTTCACCACAGGGGCAAACAGCTCCTTGAAGTCCACCTTCTCCTTCTGCTGGTACCCCTTGGCTACAAGCCTAGACTTGTAGCGCTCGATCTTGCCGTCGGCATCCGACTTGATTTTGAAGAGCCACTTGGACGTTATCGCCGTACGCCCCTCCGGTAGCTCCACCAATTCAAACGTGTCATTCTCCTCGATGCTCTTCAGCTCACTCTCCATGGCCTTCTTCCACTCCTCAGCATCACTACTCTCCAAAGCCTCCTTGAGAGTTGCTGGTTCTCCCGGCATCTCCACCGGAGAGAAGAACGCGAAGGCACACTCCTCGTAGTCACTCTCCTCGTCGTCTCCGACCATCATTGCCGCTCCGGCCAGGGCTGTCTTGCCCTGCTTTCCCGGCGCATCATAGGTCAGCCTATTAGGGGGTTGAACTCTCCTCTTCCCCCTTCCTTCCTCCTCAGCTGCAGGGACTTGAAGGCCTTGGCGTTGCTGCGGTGTGGCTCGAATCCGTGGAGCACTCGTAGTACGGGAAGGGAGTGACGGTGCAACGCTCGCTCACTTGCTGCACCTCCTCCTCTTCTTCCTCTGCATCATTGGCCTCCTCTCCCCCATTCACAAGGGAGGATTGCCTTGTGGTTGTGCTGCCGCTGCTCAGCTCCAAAGGCAGCTCCACATGCTCCAAACCGGAACTCTTCACCTCCCCAAACCGCAAGAAGAAGAAGAAGAAGAAGAAGAAGAAGAAGAAGAAGAAGAAGAAGAAGAAGAAGAAGAAGAAGAAGAAGAAGAAGAAGAAGAAGAAGAAGAAGAAGAAGAAGAAGAAGAAGAAGAAGAAGAAGAAGAAGAAGAAGAAGAAGAAGAAGAAGAAGAAGAAGAAGAAGAAGAAGACGCATCTGAACTAGAGTAACAGCAAGAAGAAGAAGAAGAAGAAGAAGAAGAAGAAGAAGAAGAAGAAGAAGAAGAAGAAGAAGAAGAAGAAGAAGAAGAAGAAGAAGAAGAAGAAGAAGAAGAAGAAGAAGAAGAGGAAGAAGAAGAGAAGAAGAAGAAGAAGAAGAAGAAGAAGAAGAAGAAGAAGAAGAGAAGAAGAAGAAGAAGAAGAAGAAGAGAAGAAGAAGAAGAAGAAGAAGAAGAAGAAGAAGAAGAAGAAGAAGAAGAAGAAGAAGAAGAAGAAGAAGAAGAAGAAGAAGAAGAAGAAGAAGAAGAAGAAGAAGAAGAAAAGAAGAAGAGAAGAAGAAGAAGAAAAGAAGAAGAAGAAGAAGAAGAAGAAGAAGAAGAAGAAGAAGAAGAAGAAGAAAGAAGAAGAAGAAGAAGAAGAAGAGAAGGAAGAAAAGAAGAGAAAGGAGGAGAAAAAGGAAAAGAAGAAAGAAAGAAGAAAAGAAAGAAAAGAAGAAGAAGAATAAGAAGAAGAAGAAGAAGAAGAAGAAGAAGAAGAAGAAGAAGAAGAAGAAGAAGAAGAAGAAGAGAAAGAAGAAGAAAGAAGAAGAAGAAGAAGAAGAAGAAGAAGAAGAAGAAGAAGAAGAAGAAGAAGAAAAGAAGAAAGAAGAAGAAGAAGAAGAAGAAGAAGAGAAGAAGAAGAAGAGAAGAAGAAGAGAAGAAGAAGAAGAAGAAGAAGAGAAGAAGAAGAAGAAGAAGAAGAAGAAGAAAGAAGAGAAGAAAAGAAGAAGAGAGAAGAAGAAGAAGAAGAAGAGAAGAAGAAAGAAGAAGAAAGAAGAAGAAGAAGAAGAAGAAGAAAAGAAGAAGGAAGAAAAAGAAGAAGAAGAAGAAGAAGAAGAAAGATAAGAAGAAGAAGAAGAAAAAGAGAAAAAGAAGAAGAGAAGAAAGAGTAAGAATAGAAGAAGAAGAAGAAGAGAGAAGAAGAAGAAGAAGAAGAAGAAAGAAGAAGGAAGAAGAGAGAGAAGAAGAAGAAAGAAAGGAAGAAGAAGAGAGAAGAGAAGAAGAAGAAGAAGAGAAGAAGAAGAGAAGAGAAGAAGAAGAGAAGGAAGAAGAAGAAGAAGAAGAAGAGAAGAAGGAAGAAGAGAAGAGAAGAAGAGAAGAGAAAGAAGAAGAAGAAGAAGAAGAAGAAGAAGAAGAAGAAGAGAAGAAGAAGAAGAGAAGAAGAAGAAAGAAGAAGAAGAAGAAAAGAAGAAGAAGAAGAAGAAGAAGAAAAGAAGAAGAAGAAGAGAAGAAGAAGAAGAAGAAGAAGAAGAGAAGAAGAAGAAGGAAGAAGAAGAAGAAGAAGAAGAAGAAGAAGAAGAAAGAAGAAGAAAGAAGAAGAAAGAGAAGAAGAAGAAGAAGAAGAAAAGAAGAAGAAAGAAGAGAAGAAGAGGAAGAAGAAGAAGAAGAAGAAGAAGAAGAAGAAGAAAGAAGAAGACGGAGAAAAGAAGAAGAAGAAGAAGAAGAAAAGAAGAAGAAGAAGAGAAGAGAGAAGAAGAAGAAGAAGAAGAGAAGAAGAAGAAGAAGAAGAAGAAGAGAAGAAGAAGAGAAGAGAGAAGAGAGAAGAAGAAGAAGAGAAGAAGAAGAAGAAGAAAGAAAGAAGAAAGAAAAAGAAGAAGAAGAAGAAGAAGAAAGAAGAAGAGAAGAGAAGAAGGAAGAAGAAGAAGAAGAGAAGAAGAAGAAGAAGAAGAAGAAGAAGAAGAGAAGAAGAAGAAGAAGAAGAAAAGAAAAGAAGAAGAAGAAGAAGAAGGAAAAGAAGAAGAAGAAGAAGAAGAAGAAGAGAAGAAGAAGAAGAGAATAAGAAAGAAGAAGAAAGAAGAAGAAGAAGAAAGGAAGAAGAAGAAGAAGAAGAAGAAGAAGAAGAAAAAAAGAAGAAGAAGAAGAGAAGAAGAAGAATAAGAAGAGAAGAGAAAGAGAAGAAGCAGAAGAAGAAGAAGAAGAAGGAGAAGAAGAAGAAGAAGAAAAGAAGAAGAAGAAGAAGAAGAAGAAGAAGAAGAAGAAGAATAAAGAAGAAAGAAGAAGAAGAAGAAAGAAGAAGAAGAGAAAAGCAGAAGAAGAAGAAGAAGAAGAAGAAGAAGAAGAGAAGAAAGAAGGAAGAAGAAGGAAGAAAAGAAGAAGAAGAAGAAGAAAGAAGAGGAAGAAGAAGAAGAAAGAAAGAAGAAGAAGAAGAAGAAGGAAGGAAGAGAACGAAGAAGAAAGAAAGAAGAAAGAAAAGAAGAAGAAGAAAGAGAAGAAGAAGAAGAAGAAGAAGAGAAGAAAGAAGAAGAAGAAGAAAGAAGAAGAAGAAGGAAGAGAAGAAGAGAAGATAAAAGCAAGAAGGATAAAGAAGGGAGGAAGAGCGAAAGAGAGAAGACGAAGAAGAAGGAAAGAAGAAGAAGAAGAAGGAAGAAGAAAGAGAAAGAAGAAGAAGATAAAAGGAAAGAAAGAAGAAGAGAAGAAGACAAAGAAGAAGAAGAAGAAGAAGAAGAAAAGAAGAAGAAGAAGAGAAGAAGAAGAAGAAGAAGAAGAAGAAGAAGAAAGAAGAAGAAGAAAGAAGAAGAAGAAAGAGAAGAAGAAAAGAAGAAGAAGAAGAGAAAAAAGAAGAATAAGAATAAGAAGAAGAAGAAGATAAGAAAGAGAGAAGAAGAGAAGAAGAAGAAGAATAAGAAGAAGAAGAAGAAGAAGAGAATAAGAGAAGAAGAAAGAAGAAGAAGAAGAGAAGAGAAGAAGAAGAAGAAGAAAGAATAAGAGAAGAGAAGAAGAGAAGAAGAAGAAGAAGAAGAGAAGAAGAAGAGAAGAAGAAGAAGAAGAAGAAAAGAAGAGAAAAAGAAGAAGAAGGGAAGAAGAGAGAATAAGAAGAAGAAGAAGAGTGAAGAAGAAGAAGAAGAAGAAAGAAGAAGAAGAAGAAGGAAATAAGAAGAAGAAGAAGAGAAGAAGAGAAGAAGAAGAAGAAAAGAAGAGAAGAAGAAAAGAAGATAAGAAGAAGAAGAAGAAGAAGAAGGAAGAAGAAGAGAAGAAGAAGAAGAAGAAAAGAAGAAGAAGAAGAAGAAGAAGAAGAAGAAGAAGAAGAAGAAAGAAGAAGAAGAAGAAGAAGAAGAAGAAGAAGAAGAAGAAGAAAGCAACGAATAGAAGAAGAAGAAGCAAGAAAGAAGAGATAAAGAAGAAGACGAAAAGAAGAGAAGGAATAGAAGCTTAATTAGAAGAAGAAAGATAGAATAAAGAAGAAGAAGAAGAAGAAGAAGAAGAGAAGAAGTTACGCG